TTTCTTTCTTTCTTTCTTTCTTTCTTTCTTTCTTTCTTTCTTTCTTTCTTTCTTTCTTTCTTTCTTTCTCCTGTGTGTCATCGAACTGGTACTAACTGTAATTCAGTGTATGCTGCTTTTGTCAGCTATCTGAAAAGATATAGTCCAGGGAAGGTGGTGTTTTACATCAGTGCTGATCGTGTGTTTTTGCTCTTGCTTTAGGCATTCTTTGACACTATATGTAGAAGACTCTATGTGGAAACGGGCAACTCCCAATTGGCAGGCACTGCCTCTGCCCTCAATTCAGGGATGCCAGGTGACCCCTAGATGTTGCCCATGCAACTCAGCAGCAAAATCTCAGTTGTTAGCAGCCTGATTTTCTGCTTTTCTGCATAAATCAAGCACAAAATAAGCATAGGAAGATTCCACATGGTTAATTTACCCATTTTGTATGTAAGTTGAAATTTTCCAAAAGGAAAAAAATAATATATTAATTATTTTACTATATTGTTCTTGTTGAGTGTGGCTTCCAGATACATAAAAGCTGTCCATTTTTAATATGCGGTATTTGTCCAGAACAAAATATAAGTCTAAAGCCTGAAAGACTCATGTCCTTTCACGTGGGGGAAAGCTTTTTACAAATTAATGCAGAGCCATTTGATTATTTTGAAAGTAATTATTTTAAGACAGGGGAAATACCTGTTCAGAAAAAAGACTTTATCCTCCCCCGCACTCCCCCCCCCCCCCCCGCTCTTAGCAATTGTTCAGATTCCTGTATCTGCCATTCTTTTTCAGCAGTGTTAAGTCTATCAGGAATAGTATATTATATGAGAAGTTAGAATGCTATGTTCCAGTCACATTTATTTACGTATTGATAACAGAAATGAAATTGAAGTGGATTAAAAATTTGGCTCTCATTAAGGGAAGGTAGATCCTATTTCCAAATCTCAATTTCTTCTTCCCCATGTCCCTATGGCCCTGGTTTTGAAATTCCAGATCGCCTTGCTTATTTATTTATTTAGTTTTTTAATCCCACCTTTAATATTTTTAAAAATAACTCAAGGCAGCAAACATACCTAATACTCCTTCCTCCTGCTATTTTCCCATAACAACAACCCTGTGAGGTGAGTTGGGCTGAGAGTGACTGGCCCAAAGTCACCCAGCTGGCTTTCATGCCTAAGACAGGACTAGAACCCACAGCCTCCTGCTTTCTAGCCTGGTGCCTTAACCACTAGACCAAACTGGCTATCCAGGAAACTCTTCCATTCCTTTTGTCTTTCTAGGACCTCCAGATGTAACTCAACCCTGTGAAACCAGCTTGCAGGCCTGGAGCCCTGAATTTAATCTGTTTAATGTGAGCATGACCACTCCTTGCCTTAAGCCCCTTGGTTGCATTTTGGAGCTCTACTTCCTATATCCTGTGTATTCTGACTCTTTATTGATATGGGCTACAAATTTCTCCACCAATTCCAAAGTTCTGTCCGATGTTGAGATCCTGACGGAGCATGGGGATTCTGTACACCTTGGACCAATGGATACATTCTGTGACATTCCCCTCACGGTGAAACTGAACCTTACCAAGAAAGTGTCTGGCATAAAGATTTACACGTTTGATGAGAAGATGGAGATAGATGCTGCACAATTGATCTCCACACCACACAGTCCACTTTGTTCAAACTGCAAACCTGTGAGGTACAGGGTTCTGCGGGACCCCCCATTCCATGATGGATCCCCAGCGATGGTGATGCAGCCAGGAAGAAAGTTTATTGACAAGTGAGTGAAAAGATTAGTGTTCAGGAATCTACAGGCTTCTGCAAAGACATTCTGGGCCTCTCCCCTTTGTTTCCCATTTTCTTTCTTTTCTTTCATTTTTTTTTTAAATAAGACTCCAGCTCTTCCCCAATCAGAAAAAACAGGTGAGTCAGACTTTACTATGTATAAATCTGCTCATAATTCCAGTGTTCTGTCTAATGAAAGCAGAGTCAATGAGATAATTGATTAGCACTTGAACATTTGAACTTTAAGATATTTACTACATTTAAATTAATTTCAGAATGTTAAGAATATTAGCATTCAGGTTTTTATGCTAGAGAAGTTGTGCTACCAGTAAATCCTTGTTCCTGCTTACTCACCCCATACCCATTAACCTGCTTTTAACCTGTTGGGTTGGCTGCTCCTGTCTCCAGTTTCTTCAGTCCTTCATTGTTAGCAGAACTTATATAAAAACTGTAACAACGTTATCCTTACATTTCTTAAGTTTCACATTTTTGAGTGGGTGATTACAAACTCTTACAAAGGAAGACTGTCATTCACAGATAGTGCTTCCCTTTAGCAACTTGGAGGCAAAGCTTATAGGAATTTTCCACTGAGAGAAATCATCCTCTCACTTGGAATCACAGACAGCAATTAATGTAACACAAATAATATGTACTTTTGAAGATTTCTCTGAAAACACAATTATTGCAGATTTTGAGAGGCATCAAGAACCACATTTTACTATGTTATGCTAATTGCTTTGGCTGCCTCTGTGATTCTAGGTCCCATGTAGGAATTTCCTGCATCAATAGTTGGGGTAACATTTCTAAGGAACCACTTACTTGTATATCAGTGGATATGCTGGAGATACTGGACAAATCTGGCCCTGCTTTGTTTTGACAGCTTAATAGATAAAATCCAGAGTCTTTACTGATGTGGCTCCTTTATTTCTTTTTTTGTAAGGATTCACAAAACACACCCTTTATTTTGGTTTGTGGGGTAGATTTGGTTGGCATTTTGACAACTCTAATGAATATTGTGTTGAGTTTTTTGCCTATTATTGGTTACTCTGATAGCCATTCTGGAAAGTATTGAATGAAGAACACTACACCAATGCCTTAAATAAATTTAGTTTAAATAATCCCTCATTGTGTTTCTAAGTTTATGAATCACTTTGAGCTATTGGAAAAGTATTGTGGGATTTTTTAAAATAATAATAAAATTATATTCTTCTTTAGGAAGGGCGCAAACTTGGTCTGTGTCCATCTGTCTAATAGCTGTGCTTTTACCCAGTTTTTCAGTTAATTGCAAATTGGTTGGCTGCTGCTTGGCTGCATTTATCCCAGAAAACAAGGTTGAGCTGCGTGTTTCCACTATTTTCGTGACTACCGACTACTTGTCATCCATTGAGGATCCGTGCAGAGCAGTAGTTAGCTTGCTCATTTGTCAATAGCATTTCAGGTCTTACCACTCTGGGGGTACCTGCAGAGAGATTCCCATGCTATGAGATGAACTATCCCAGCTCCCAGCTGCTCCTGCACTGCATTCCTGCATGGAGATAAGGTCCGATAACTTTTGGAACACGTTATCAGTGTTTCTAGTAGAGCATGAACAGCAGTAGTTCAGATTTAGCGTGCCCATGAAAGAGCTTTTTTTCTCCTCCCCTGAACTTTGGAAATTTGAAAATGAAAAGTTGATTCTTAACCTGGAATCTTATAATTCAGTTAAGCTGGTGGTACGTTAGGTGGTTGGAGGAAGTGACAAATGGGTAAAGAAACAGCCCGTCCATCCTAAATAATCTTCAGATTCTGAAGACTCTTAGCAGCTCTCGGGAGCCATGATGTAGGGCAGATTGGAAGTGCCGCTTTGCCACTGGGGCAAAGGTAATAAGGGCTGGGATGCACATTAAAAGCAGCAGGTAAGTTGGTAGATTGACATGGGATAGGACTGCCGGTAGGACAAGAGACAACAACCTGCTTCTTTACTACCATTGTCACAGCTCTTGCTGTGGCAGTACTGATAATGAGAATGAAAAATCTGCATTTAAACACATATTTAACGCATACCTATTTTCTCCCAAAATAATGTTTCAACACAAATGTGTGTTTTTTGCTCTCAGAACTGAGAACATTTTGAAAGTGCAAAAGATAGTTATGTTTCAATCACTTATTGAAACATATCAGATAACATTTATCTGAAAGGTATGGATCAAGTTAGTTATGTTAGTAAAAATAAAATTATTCAGGCATCCTCCCTTGTGATTTATTCTTAACCTAGAAACGATCCTGACTTTTCCTGACCTGGTTACCAGGTCAGACACCAAATCACACTCAAGTAATTTGGAAGGTCCCCCTCTCAAAAAGAGAACCAAAAAAACCAAAGTTGTGACCTCTATGTTCCTGTGGCTAACATGGTTTCTGGAATTGTTCTTCCAAAGACTGAGATGAACTCAGAGGAGTTCATGATCTCAGATATCAGAAAACCGTTCATGCCTTAACTTTTTGGCTAAGTCCAGTTTAGAATCCATGCAATTAACTTCAAAAGTCAATTTCGTAGAATTGTTGATTGCATTTTCTTTTTTTCTAGAGGATAAATGAGATATCCCTCCCAAGTAAATTGTTATGGAGATAAAGTAGATCAATGTGTTTTTTTTGTCTCTAAGAAATGTGCAAGGATGTTGTCCCTAAAAGCTCTCTCTTTGCAATTTCAGACCTCCTGGAATCAATTTACCAAATTGAAATGGATAAAATTTATCACATCTAAGTGAACATTTAATGCTGCATTATAATCTTCTTTCTTGCAGAAACTGCTCTCTGCCAGTAGCCACATTCCCACTGGTGGATGAAAAGCTACAGCTCTTCTTTTTATACATGAGAAAGAACAAACTGTTAAGTCCTTGAAAGCATTCAGTAGTATCATGCTTTGGGTTTTACAGATCATAAAAGGAAGCAAAAAGGGAATACTCAATGAATGAAAGAATTATGATTTAATTATAGCTTGCCTAGTACACAAGAACATATACCCTAGAATAAGAATTTTTATAATTTTCATATTGGCACATTCAATTTCTTTTACATTGTTCAATAAAATAAAGTTTTGAGAATGATTTTCATTTTCTTTTATTCAACTTTACAAGTTTATATAGATATTTTACATTTTTTACATAATTCATTTTACAAGAAACTCAATTTTGAGATCTCTGGTCTTTATGTACAATAATTTTGATATTTTAAGCATACATTGTTATGCTTAAACTATAACCAAAGGAATTTTGCCTCATGAAATTTGCACGTATACTTCTTGACATAATTTTTTTCTTGTTATTTAAATCCAACAGAATGGTGCATTTTGTTATATAATATATGATTATACCACTGAAGATTAGTTTCATTTCACATTACTAGCTGACTTATGCTCCATAAGGATTCCTGGTCAATTTACAGAAAAGCTTCCTCAATCTGACACAGCAGCATATCTCTGGAAATTGCCATTGCACACTGAAGGAAATTGTTCCTCCCTTTCCAGTGATAAATTCCAAAGCAGTAGTTTCCCCTTTAATTATTTCTTGTTCAAACCAGAAAACAATGAATCTTGCCTGGATACTGGGATTCGTGATGGTTTAAATGGAATATTTTGAAGTGTCATGTGAAATCCCAGCAGTGTTTTCTATTCTGTTTTAGAAAGTATCACATCTAAACAGGCTTTTCACTTGCAAGGAATTTATTATTACTTGATACAGTAGACATTATTCTCTGTTTGTTAACAGTCAGTTGCCTATGACATTCACTGCAGTTGCTAATCCTTTGGATTGAGAAACCCCTTGGCAAGGCTAAACAGCACAAGTGAGATTGTATGAAGAATCATCACATATCACCAGTTTCTATGAACTCTGGTTGGTTTTTCTGATGTGCAAACTGCTACCTGGGAATAGCATGTGTTAACATGCCAGGACAAGACAATAACCAAAAGACATAAAGGCCTAAAAGAACAAGACTTCAGATCTTCAGTTAGAAGTATCCAGACTGCTTCAATAAGGAAAAGATCTCTTCTTTCATACTACAGAAGATGTATTTTCCTGGATGAAGATATGCATTGCCAAAGCAACATGGTTGGACCGGGTTTTATTGTAGATGTAGGATCTCCTGTATGTTTTTCCTCATTTAGCTTGATTGGTAAAGCTTCTAAAACGGTATTCTGGCTAGCAGGTCTTGATTCCCAGTTGGAATGCCCTGAAGGCAAGATCTCATTTAGGGTCCAGCTGAATGTTAGGATTTGAAGTGACTTCTGACTGTTGAAATTGAAAGGTTCCTCCTAGCCAGGATGGGGTGCAACTAGGACCTGTTAAAACTGTAATTACCTACACTGGAACCTGCTAGTATGCTGCACAGAAAAGCATATATTGGGCCATTGGATCTGGATGGGATGCTTTTTCACAGCAATTCTGTGCTCACATTGTAAAAGACAAATCTCACCGCCTTTTTCATTAAGGAGCAAGCCATGCTCTGTCTCCCTCCTAGAAATCATTACAAGACTTTTCCAGGAATAAGGATATCTTCTGAAATTCTCAACCAGTAAACTATTTTCTTCTTGGAATATTGCAGAAACACAAAATTTAGGCACCAATTTATTAGGTGCCTCTGTGCTTCTTGCATGGAAAGTTCAATTCTGAGTAGCCACAGCTTTTCTGGGAGCTGGTGGATTGTAAGTCAGAAGCCTTCCCTGTTACAATACAGTATATACCAAATTCCCTCTCACCCCTATGGGTGGTCTGTGTCTTCCTCAGTCTCGGGCCCTCTACCAGAGGCCTGGGAGTTTGAGGGTTCTGTGCAGTATCTGAGCTGTTCCTAGCACTGCACTCTTCTGGACAGAGAGCTATGATGTTGTTCCTGGGATCTGTTGGAGCCATTCTCCCAGCTTAGGAGTCACAGCCCCGAATGCTTCTGCCCCCACTAGGACCACTTTGGCCTTTACTTTCCACATCCTCTCTAGTTCCTCCTTCAGGCCCTGGTACTTCTCCAGCTTCTCATACTCCTTCCTGATGGTGCTGTCACTTGGCACAGCTACATCTATCACCACTGCTGTCCTCTGATCCTTGTCTATTACCACGATGTCTGGTTGATTCGCCAGTAACTACCTGTCTATCTGGATCTGGAAGTCCCACGGGAACTTAGCCCTGTTATTCTCCATGACCTTCTGTAGAATCTCGCATCTGGACTTGGGAGGGTCTAGCCGATTCACTGTGCAGATGTTCCTGTACACAATGCCAGCTACTTGGTTGTGCTGTTCAGTGTATGCTGTTCCTGCCTGCATCTTAAGGAGGCAAGGAAGACAGCAACATCCAAGTACTACCAAAGGATAAGACAGGTCCAGGAGGCAAGGAAGACAGCAACATCCAAGTACTACCAAAGGATAAGACAGGTCCAGGAGGCAAGGAAGACAGCAACATCCAAGTACTACCAAAGGATAAGACAGGTCCAGGAGGCAAGGAAGACAGCAACATCCAAGTACTACCAAAGGATAAGACAGGTCCAGGAGGCAAGGAAGACAGCAACATCCAAGTACTACCAAAGGATAAGACAGGTCCACTTCCAGCATTGTCCTCCACAGTCCCATTGAGTTCTTGAGGAAGGTCCTTAGCGTCCTGCTGACTTTGTATAATGCCAGGCTTTCACAGATCCATGTGTGTGACATTGAATCATAGGCCTTCTTATAGGCAGTCCAGGCTGTGCTCAGGTTGGTCTGCCTAAACTTTGAGTCTTGGGCAACTGCTCTATTTATGAGCAATTGGTGTTTTGAGCCTCTGGTGTTCTTCCCAATGACCACCTGAGCTATGCTTATGTACTGGTCCTGTAGCTTGTGGCTATGATGCCTGATAGGACTTTCCATGTTGTGGAGAGGCAGGTTAGTGGCTGGTAGTTGAATGGCGCTGCTCCCTTGTGGAGGTCTTTCATGATCAGCACTGTCTTTCCTTGTCTGGATGGGAGCCTGCTGTTAGCCAGCACGACTGTCTTTGTTAATGTCAGTCTCATATCTGAGGTAGGCAGGTGAAGCATTAGGGGGGCTTTGCCCAAGGACCCCTACTGGTAAGGTGGGTACCAGCTGGGATTCAAACCCCGGTCTCCTGCATCAAAGGGTGGCACTCTAACCTCTATGCTATCCAGCTGCTACATATACATATATTGTCTAATCACACCCAAACCCCACCAAAACTGGCAGGGCAAGCTACTGTATATAAACAGGGGGCAAAACCTGCACTCACTCATACTAATGATGTTACCGAGTTGTGTAATGAAATGTCTGCAAGCAAACAGCCAAGCTCAGAGAGCACCAAGGACTCCACAGTTCAACCCTGAACCACATATATTCTCTTCCATTGAAAAAATTGTCTCTCAGCTATTGGCTTACAAATTTGGAGATTGACGTCCCATGATTCTTCTCATAGCACCTCTATTACTAATATTCACAGAGGAAAGTAAAAAAAAAAAAAATCTGGGTACATAATAAATGGGGCATCCTTGGAGTATGGAAATGTGTCATGGGAGGATATGGGATATTTTGAGTCTATGGACCATAGTTGCCTTTTCCTAGTGTGTATCTTTGTGCAATGTAGAAAAATGCCTTTTATGGCTTGCTTCCGTCTCAAGGTATAATTCTGCCTACTTACTTCCCCAGGGAAGTCACAATTGGCCAACGATACCAGTACCAAGTGCAGGCTGTAGCAGGAGCTGCTATAAGTGAAGCCTCCCCACCTCTGTTCCACATCCATGGCTCTTCCTATTGTGGGGACGGGCAAGTAAGCAGGTGAGTACCAATTTTTGAAGATGACTTTTTAAAAGTATGGTTTGATTGAGCTGGCAGCTGCTGCAGTACCATATCTCAGACAGTTCCTGTTTTCCAGGCATACTCACCACCTCTCCCCCCTAGTGCCCTTGGAAGCTGCTTTAGAATATTCTTGTTGTAAGGAATTTCTGGCCCCAATTAGATGAGCATTCAAATGAATATATATTGAAATGCCCGTTTCAATATATTCAGGAAACCTGAATATATATTGAAATGCCCGTTTGCCTATTTGGTTTCAGTGGGACTCACAACAAAATGCTAGCTAACCCTTTGTTTTTATCAGAGAAGAAATGTTTATTCAAGTTTGCAACAAAAGCAGGATAGTTCCAGATTAACTCTGCCTAAAAAAAAATCTTTATCCTATTATTTCAGAAAATGTAAAAATATTTTCATCCTATTATTTCTGTATTATTACTCATATATGGCAGGTGGGGAGTTGAAACTGAGAATGATCAGCTAATTGAAGGTTTTACAAGGAGGCTGAAGGAGAAGCAACATTTGAACTAAAGTATTGGATGTTTTGTATAGAGAAATGTTTTACCTGAAACCTCCCTCAGAGATGTTTGAAGTAGAATGGGCAACTTTTTTCAGCCAGGGACCAAACTTTTTATTTGGTTGAGCCTCTGATGGCCATAGATGGTATGACTAGTGACGTAATTGCTTCTGGAATGACCAAGGGCCACAATTTCAGGCCTTTGGAGAGGTTTGGAGGTTTAAAAGAAAGTTTGTCCCTTTGATTCCTGCCCTACGCCCAGCAAAAAATCATGAGATTTGATGAGATCTGGGAGTTTTTAAAGGGATGAAATGGTTCTTTAAGCATTCCAGCAAGGATTAGAAAGAACAGATGTTCTGTTTGAAAGGAAAGGCAATAAATGGAAAGGCAATGGAAACGAGGAATCTAGGATTCCTTGATAATCCTATTACTTCCCATGGAAGTAGAATAACATTGATTTTTAAAAATGGAGAATGTAGTTCAGTCAGCTGTGTTGTAATACATCCTTACCCTGGAGAAGCTGTTGTAAGAAGGTGAAAAAGATAATGCATGTGAGCTCCAAATGCTCTAAGTACCATATAAATGTTAAAAATGCTAATATTATTTTTTTAGGAGTCTTGTAGAGGAATGCGATGATGGAAACCTGTTAGATGGGGATGGTTGCTCTAGAAACTGTAAAAAAGAAAGAGGATTCCACTGTGTTGGTGAGTCTAGAAAAGTTACCCCACTGTTATTCATTTCATTATGATTTTACTGTAGCCTTGTCTCGTTTACATATACATTTTTGAATCTCATATTTGAGAGTTCAGAAATTTGAAAGGAACCAATCTTACAACAAGTTTAACAAAGATAGGTCTGGCTTTGGTTTGTTTAGCTCTGTTAGTTCAGTTATCTATTGCTATTTTATCTGTATCAGTATGTTTGAAGCTGGATCTGTAGCCAGCAACTTTATCATTAGAAGAATGAAATACTTGGTTGGTTCTCTACATTAAAAATGACAGACAGATAGAAGAAAATCAGAGGGATGTGTGTGAGTATGTGTTTCTAATTCAACTTTGAGCTGTGCTTTTTTTCTATGTGCAATTTTAAGTTTTTAATATAAAGGAGCATTCCAAAAAAGGCATGTATTATCTGATGTGGTACCATGTATAATGTCTCAGCATTTTTTCTTCTCCTTTTGTTCTAAAGCAGTCCTGAGCTTCTCAAATATTACTTTCTGGAAATAGTTGTTGATGACCACCCAATCCTGGGAAATATGAGTTTATGGTGGAATCTGAAGGCTATAGAGGAGTTCGGAATTTATTTTTATTTAAGAAACCTATATGTTGCCTTTCAGGCCAGAGTCTTTCAACACATAGGTAAAACTGTTTATCTTCTGCATTTAGAGGACATTTGAGTTCAGAGTTCCAGATTTCTTCTCCCAACGCCTTTGTCAAACAACATTGACAATAAAATAAAATCTTGAGGCACATCGATGACCCTGATGTGGAGGAAAAGTTACCCAGCCTGATTGTTTTAGATCCCTCCATCATGACATCCAAAGCAATATAGATATGACAGTATAATCAAATGATCATCTGGGCTTACACAAAGAATATTTGACCTTTAGAAAAACTCCATTTCTTGCAATTGCCAAACACATTTTTTTTTTTCTTCCTAGTGTTTTTCCCGCAGGTGCAGGTTCTGCTTTTTTCAGATCAACTGAATGTTGATCAATTAGTTGCGGCAGGAATTGACTGACCAGCTTGTCACCTGAGCCTGACGTTGTTGTTGTGCAAACACAATGGTGGTAGAGAAATAAGCTTACTTTTAATGAAAAGAGCAGTCAATGCCTCAACCCATGATAGATGTGTTCCCATGATAGAGCAATCACACTATCACATTCAGAAAAATCCATCATTATTTCTTACCACCACCCTTCTCTTTACACAAAATTCTGCCTCTCTGCAATTTGCTATGGGTATTCCTCATGATAGAAGGCATATTTGCTGCACATTTGGCACATCACATTCTGCCTCAAAACTCAAAATGTAAGATCGTGTATAAAGAGGCCTAATCTAAGTTATTTAAAATACATTTTAAAGAAGCCTAGTCTAAGAATGCTGATTTCTATGGAAGCAGGCAGACTTTGTCCTCTCTATATTTAGCTTTCCCTAAATTTCTTTCCATTCTGAAGTAAAACAAAACAAAATCACAACAATGTTGATAATAGGCATTTAAAAGAATGTAACTCAAACTCTCCTGGATCAATATTTATAGAATTTAGAATTCTTCAGCTGTTCACAGTGGTCTTTGCAAATGTACCTTTCAGGCATGAGGTGGGGGAAGGAAGATCTACCTAAACGATAGGTATAAATTTGAGATTTATCATCCTAGCATACTTTTGACTTTTGCAGGTGAACCAAGCCTGTGCTACATCCATGAAGGTGATGGCATCTGTGAGCCATTTGAGGAAAGCAGCAGCATTGTGGATTGTGGTCTCTTCACCCCTGAAGAGTATGTGGATCAGTGGGCATCAGATGCCTATGCATCCCACCAAGATGAGAAAACGTGCCCAGTCTCCATGGTGATTGGAGAACCTCTTGTGAAGGTGCTTGTTTTTTTCTTTTCCTTCACAAAAATGGCTGTCCTGAACATCCTAAGTCAGCCAGCTGTTGTTTCTGCTTTAAAATGCATAAATTACATTCTTCTGCAAAATGGAGGAGCAATTTCATCCCCAGAGGATATGAGGCATTCTAGGTTCTGCCACTCCTGTACTTTTCCCTCAGTATCTCTTCCTTGGCAACCATGAACAGCTCCTTTGTTCTCTTACATTTAGGTCAGTGGTAGACCACATACTTTGCACTTAGAAGTTCCATTTTTTATCTTTGGCATCACCACTTAAAGATTTAAGGAGCTGAATTTTGGTGTTTTTCTGGAGAACTAGGCCTTGTGATTTCCAGTGGTCTGGGCTATTCTATGTCAGGTTACAAATGAGAACTTAAGTGTTTAAATGCTGCATTGCTCTATCCCCAGCCTAGTAGGGTTGGATCACAGGTTCTTCTGGATTCAGATGCAATGATGTCACCCACATGAGTGCTTTGGGCTTTATTCCAGGGCAGTATAAGGAAGTAACAGAATAACGTAAGATGAGACAGCAATCAAAGAATATTCAAGACTACAAGAATACAGTCAGAGAAAGTAAGAAGGAGCTATGTCTCTTATGTCAGTCAGGGAACTCCAAGGGGCTGACGGGGGGCCAGCAACTATCCAGCACCCTCCCAGTTAGGTCTGCATCGAAGTCCATCCATGTGGGTTTCTGACTAATTATATACTGTAGGCTCTGAATCACCATTAGTCCCATCTGTGTTTGATGGTCTCATCTCACTGGAGTTTGCCAAGGGCAAGCCAATCTTACCTTGGGGTTGGCACCTATTCCTGCCAAGCATAAGACCATCAGGGTTAAAGAATATTTGTTTATATCCGGTTTCTATCATTTTTTTAAAAAAAATAATTAATTAAATTAAAAAAATAAATTATTTAATTTAAATAAAAATAAAGTTAAGGAGTATCTGTTTCCCAAGGTGTTTTGTTTGACAATGAAAAAGATCATTCTACTCTACACAGGTGTCTCCCCAAGGGCAGGACAAAACAAAATATAACCCCAAGAATAACCCTTTAGAGACTAAAATAAATGCTTAATTTCTGTTTTATACACTTAACCACGACATGAGAATGTAAAGTTCTATATACCATGCACCCAAGGGAAGGCGATACAGACCAGTATCTAATCTCTCCTCCCTAATCTTCCAGTAAAACTGCCAGCATTACAAATGCTTGCATTTTAAATACTTTCTCATAAAATGTCTCATGCCACAAGGATTAGGCAACCAAATACTTATAGTTTTGTGCCTGATATCCTAGTTTTCTATATGCGGATGGCTGTGGCTAGTTTAGTTTTGTATAGAGTAGCAGTCAATAAGATGAACCCCATCTACAACTCAGAATGGGGCTGCCTGGTTATAGATATGCTGCTGCAGGAACCAGATCCCCACAGACAGCCATCCTCATGCAGAAACCACTGTGTAAATGATTAAAACTCTGAACACGTTTTTCTAATTTTCAACTTTCTGCCCTTATTTATTTAACAGAACAAAGAAAAAATTATCTATGGAAAAAAACAAAGAACAGCATCGTGTGTGTATGTGTGTATATATATAGGTGTACTAACCTGCGTTGTGCAGTTCCCAGTGAAAGCAACTCCTTTGATACCAAGGTAGATTCAAAGGAAAGTTCATTTGTTAAGGACTGGTATACAGGTCAAGAGCATTGCTGAAACTGAAGCCCACACGTGCCAAAAGTTACTTTTATTTCTTTTCCCTTTGCACTTCCCCCCTGGTCTCACATTGAATGCTGGTTAGCAGTCCATCTGCGCCTAATAGCTCTCCCCCCACCCCCTTATCATCGTAATGGCAGAAACGAAGCAAGCAAGCTAGCAGGATAATTGATTGATTGCGGAGGTTCTGACAATAGGCTTCTCACTTGTGTATTTAAAGTTTTACACAATGGTTTTTAACCATACAGCTGGTCCTCAGGTTGCAACAGCAATTGGGACCGTAATTTCCATTGCTAAGCGATGCAGTCGTAAAGCGCAACATTATGTGACCGCATCACTTAGCGATGGCAATCCCAGCAGTCTCGGTTGCTGTTGTAACCTCAGGACTGTGTGGATTGTTAAGTGGGAAGAGGTGGGAATCCCAGCCAGGCAGGCCAGCAGGTGCTGCTTGGGGGGGATGTGTGTCACAGGCAGGTGCTCTGGAGCCCAGGTGGGTGCTGTGGGGAGGTGGCGTGGACAGGCGCCACAGAGCATGGGCAGGTATGTGGGTGCCACCGAGGGGCAGGGGGTGCAGCAGGCAGACACTACAGAGCATGGGCAGGTGAAAAAATGGTGGGAGCAACTTCCAACTTCCTGCTGGCTTTCCCATTGTCTTTGCTTGTGGGAAGCTGGCAGGGAATGTTGGAAATCACAATCACATGACTGCAGCTTGCTACAACGTTGTAATCGCAAGCTGGGCACCAAGTGTCCAGATCACAATCATGTCACCATGGGGATGCTGCAATGGCCAGAACTCTGAGGACCGATTGTACGTCCCCCTTGTTCAACACCATCGTGACTTTGAACAGTCGCTGAACAACTGGTTATAACCTGAGGACTACCTATATCTCATTGTAATCATCCATACATATTATAATATAGCTTTATATATCCAAATCTATCATTCTCCTGTGCCCGGACCCAAGTTATAATCCTCAAAAGAAGGTTCTCTGATGAGAGGATGAGATTTGAAGAGATAGCAGTAAAGCTTTCCTATCTTGTTGGCTTTCTGAGGAAAACAATGGCAGCTGCTATTTTATATACGTGTGTATGTGTGTGGGTATAAACAAAAGTTTTAAAAAATAGAATTTCTGAAAGAAACAAATAAAATGTTTATCATTTAGTTGTTTCTAATTCTAAATTCCAGTACTTTTATTAGTTCAGTTCAGGGTCACAAATATTGCACAAATTTCCATACTGAGCTGGCATAAGTATTGTCCTAATATGAATTTTGGATTTTTGTTATGGTTCCCTTGCTTTTCATATTATTTCTGAGGTAATAAAACAGTATGTCTCCAACTCCAGGAAGCATTGAACTCTCTTCTTCTTAGGTTTGCAGGCCTCATCATCAAGAGACACTGGACAATGAATCACAGCTGGCTTGGTTTCCTTGTATGAAGCATGAAGTTCTTCAGGATACAGAGAGGGAGAAAATACATTTGAATGACAGAATTTGGCTGAAAGTGAGTGGATCTGGCAGTCACTTAATGAGTACATATTGAGAAAAAAGTGGCACTTAATATGTGCATGCCAATCTCCAGGTTGATCATACTGAGTTTTGGCAGTTGTGATTTAACTGTTAAGCACTATATACTGCTAAATGCTTCACTACAACTTTGAGTACACTATAATATGTGATGTTTTACTAGGCTGTTATTGTCCTTTTTCTCCAGAGCTATTTCTGGGATGAATGGCTGAATGAAAAGCCCAACTCACTGTGACTGAGAGATGAAAAATACAGAACCCTTATACTTACATGTAATGCTGCTGTATAATGCTTTTTCTTACAATTCCAATCACCTCATATTTTTCCCCCAGCTAGAAATTCCCAAAATTATTTTAAAATAATTAAAAACGTAGATTTCCTTTCCTATAGGGATAGGTGAACAAAAATGAGTGGGTTTTTTTTCATTTAGAAAAATAGATGAACCTATAAAATTAATTTTGGGTAGAGATTCCCCATATTAGTACCCTGGGTACTTTTCTTACAACATTTGAGACACTTTTCACCAGAATCTTAAATGTTCCACTGAAATCAAAGCATCTTAACTTCCTAACATGCATGCATGTGTGTGTGTGTGTGTTGTGTCTATATATAAAGATGGATGGATGGATGGATGGATGGATGGATGGATGGATGGATGGATGGATGGATGGATGGATACACACACACACACACACATCTAAGAATAAGGACTCTAAGAATGCCTTACAGAAGACAGTCAATAGAATTTGCTCTGTTTAGCTATGTATTGGCTTGCACAATACATCAGTAAAACTATTAAGTGACTTAACCACTAACAATGGCTTCCATTCACTTCCAAAGTACTGAATGGCTTGGAAGAAAGAAGAAGACAAGATAGCAAAGATAAGTTTTCTTTAGGTGAATCCTTCATATTTTGATTTGAAAATCAAGAACGGTATCTGTGCTTTCATCTTCCTTCTTCCTTCTTGAAGAATCACTTCTTGGTTTGATTGAACCATAGTTTATTCTTGCACCCAATGAGGTTTAATATGTGAACCTAACAATGCTTGAGGAAGGCTACTTTCACAGAATCTTGGACATTTTGATTGGACACATATAAGCTTCTGTTACTTGCTCTGAAAATGAGAACGGTGCATCTTAAATCTAAAGATACAAATCAGGTTGGGTTGCTTTAAAATGAAGACGTATTGAATTCTATGTGCATCACTGCCTGGAAGAGAGTAAGTCTCCTCGAACATCCCAGTTGAAAACTCACCAAGTTGACAGCATTGTACAAATGAAGGAAGGAGTGAAAACCTGCAATGGTCCTCTCTGTGTCCACAAAGCCAGAAATGGGCTGTTGTACTAAAATTCTAAGAGGCATGAGAATGAGATAAATGACTAGAGATGAGTTGGCAGGGTTAATTCAGCAGGATTATTATAATAATCTATGCATCTTCTATTCTATTACTTGTCAGTAAGCTGTCATACTTTTCCAATTTTCTTATTCTATCAATGTATTCTTTTACAATGAGCATAGAATTCTCAACATTAAATGTGTGCATCATCTACTTCTGCTTATGTTGATTGATGTATTACATGCCATCAAGTTGCTGTTGACCAAATAGACCACCATCTCTCATTTGGGCAGCCTTAACCATAAACTTGGTGGTGGTCCTAACTGCATTTACATTTACCTGCTGAAGGAGATAAGGCAATCTAATGTTAGGGTCCCAGTGAACTATCCTAACAAATAATGGGCTTAAATACAGTCCAGCAGTTCTGATTTTGTCCTGGTAAAGGCCATTCTTTGACCCTGTGTCAGCCCATAGTCATGTATTTTTCTGTTTTACATGGCCTTTTGTTCTTGGCCAATCATTTTAGACCTTTAGTGATGGTAAGCAACTCTGTGTGAGCACTGACATCCAGGACTCTCTATTTGATGATTTCCTTGGCCTGTTGTTGGACCAAAATGAGGACAATGACATGTTCTGGGATTCCCATTTTTCTGAGCACATTCCAAGGTTTGACATGATCGACACAATCAAAGGCATTTCTATAGTCAATGAAGCACAGATTAACTTATTCTTGGTATTGTTTGGCTTGCTCAATTATCCAGTGTGCATCAGCAATAGCATCTCTTGTTCCTTGGCATTTTCTGGCATCTCCCTTTCCATATAGAGCTCTAATCTGCATTGGATGATCCTAAGCATTATTTTGCCTGCACATAAAATCAGTGATATTGCACAATAGTTTCCATGCTCTGTTAAGTTTCCCTTCTTTGGTATTGGAAGGTAAGACGACTTCTTCCAATATGTTGATCATTGTATTGTTCTCCAGATTTGCTTGGAATAGTTTGCTTAGAATCTTTACTAATACTTCTGTTGTTTGCCATATTTCTGTAGATATTCTATCAATTCCTATAGCCTTCTGACTTGGTAATAAACAGCTGATCTAACTTCATCTTCGAGTATTAATACTTGTAAATAGGGAATATTTTGTAAGGTATCCTGACTGTTAATATTTCTGTTATTCCAAAGTTCAGTATATTCCTTTCATCTTTGTTTAACCTTTTTTGAATCAGTTGCTATCTGTTCATTGGTCTCCTTTAACATACCAGTTTGGAGTTAGAACCTCCTTCTGAGTTTGGAGATCTTTTGAAATACTTTTCTTGTTTCTTTTCTGTTTCCATCTCCAATGTCTTTACAAATGTCATTGTAATACTGCTTTTTGTCCCTTCCAACAGTTGTCTGAAATTCTGTGCTAAGTTCCTTCCTGAGATCCTTGTCTTTTTTGGCTTTGGCTTCTCTTCTCCTCTTGGCAGTTTACACCATCTGTTCTGACATCCAGTTTACTTTCTTCTATTTCTTGATCTTCGAAGTCTCTTTTCACACACATGCTTAATAACTTCTTTGATTTCATTCCATAGTTCCTTTGGTTCCCTATCAATGAGGTTCAGGATTTCAAAGCAATTCCTGATGTTTTTGAAAATGTTGGGTATATGCTGAAAATCATATAGTGGAAACTGGCTTTCTTCTTCCACTTTAACATATCTTAAAACTTGCACATAAACAATTCATGATCTGTTTCAGTCTGTCCCTGGTCACATCTTTGCTGTTTTAACTGAGGTGTTCTACCACCTTATGCCAATAATAGAATCAATTTGATTTCAATCTACTCCATCTAATGATGTCCATTTAAATAGGCACTGTTTTGTTTGTTTGAAGTCTGTGTTAGCAATGAAGAAATCCTTTGGCAGAAATGGATAAGGCATTCTCCTGCTTTATTTCTGCTTCCTAGTTCATACAGTTGAACTATGTTTTCTTCCTTACTATTTCTAGCTTTGGCATTCCAGTCGCCAACCCCAAGCAGCATATGTTGCTTGCATATTCTGCCAGTTTTACGTTGAACTTGACCGTACAACTCATCAACCTCCTCTTCTTCTGCATCAGTTGTTGGAGTATAAACTTGTATAACTGTTTATGTTATACAACTTGTTTAACATATTAAAAAGTTGTCTGCAAAGTCTAATTGATATTATTCGGTCATTAACTGCATTGTACCTAAATATTGTCTTCCTGACTATGAAAGCAACAGTGTTGTTTCTATGTTTTTCACATCCTGAATAGTATGATTTTCTGACTGAAAGTGTCCAATTCCAGCCTATTTCAGTTTGCTGATGCCTAAGGTATCAAAGTGTGGGTGATTTGTTTCACCATTTACTGTGTTGAACTTTCCCTTCATCATGTTTTTGACATTCCATTTTTCAACTGTAATTCCTTGCAGCTTCAGATTTTCTTTTTCTGCATGGTAGAATCAGTAACTAGGCATCTCAAAGGCTTTAACCATATCATAAACACCATCAGATCCTCAGCAATTTCTCAATAGCATGTTGAGTGCCATCAGTCTGAGGGCCTCAACATCATGCACTATATTGTCAGTCTCTTTAGATTGTCCATCTATGTGGAGGGTTTGGTAAAACACAGGAGCGGTATTGCTTTCTCCTGCATAGTATGAAATGATACCTATGCCGTTGTCATTGAAGTGATCATCCACTTCCAACATCTTATATTGCTGCTTCCCAATATAGGTGCCTGCTAGCTTTAGCTAGACAGCTGGGATAACTGCATGCCTTGAGTGACCCTGTTGGGAGTATTCTTCAACATCCCTCCCAGGAACACCCCTTCCATCTTACAATGAGGCAGAATAGTATCAAAACAGAGAAGAAAATATGTTGAATGTAAAATGAATTAGAGAATAATCAAATAACACTTAATAACAAATGTAAGCTACCTACTTTTAAAATAATTTTATTAAATAATTTTTCATAAGTAAAAAACAAATCTAATTAAGAAAAAAGAAGAAGGAAAGAGAAAAGACAGAAAAAAGATAATAAAGTGCAAGTGAAAAAAAAGGAAAACAAAAGAGTGAAATAACTAAAGAAACTAACATAGATGACTTCCAATCTTCTTTTCAATAGATATTAACAAACCCATCACCCCTTCCCTCTTAACTACTCCAGAAATCCTTTCAGCCCCTTATTTAATTCTCATATTTTTCAATCATTAAGTCCATAAATCATCATTTCCCTTTCTCTTCTTTTAGCAAAAAGTCCATAAAAAGTTTCTAGTCTTTTAAGAAAGCACTTACTGTTTTCTCCCTGATCAAAGAGATCAGTTTTGCCATTTCCACAAATGTAAGCTACCTACTTTTTAGATTGTGAGTTTTGTTTTGTTTTTGGGTTCTTTAAGAGTTGATTTACACTCCAATAATTTTTGGAGGGTAATGCTATCTCTGTACTATGGATGAGGATATACATGGTAAGAGATCAGTGGCTCGTTTAATTACTGGCTAAGATAAAATTACAGCTCACAATTTTCATTATTGCAGTGGAGTGGCTTATCAAGTTGGTATCCTTGACTATATACTATTAGTTTTCAAACAATTGCACTGCTTATTTTACAAATTACATACCTCTGGCTTCCATGATGCATCTCCAGAAATGACCAAGAGATGGCCTTGAAGAACACAGGTGCTGAATCACATGTTTCAAATAACATCAATATGTGGATAGCACCCCCACCTCTACTCTGTTGTTGCACAAAGGTGAAAGTGTCCATTTGTGGGAATTCATTCTCTTACCCCAGTATCTCTCTGGTTCACAGGTGATGTCTAGCCATGGAGAAAATAGGTAATAATAGCTGAGTCAGAGAAGGAAGGAAAACTGTTTAGCAAACAGGTTTGTGAGAATCAGAAGAGGACTTCCCAGGTTGAATGTCTGGAAATCCTCAGAGTGATCCTTGATAATCTAGAATATCCATGTGCTAATACTGAAAAGAAGGATTAAGATAAACTTCAGATCCTATCAACTGGAAATTTCTTGCAGTGGGTCCATGGGAAGCCAGTTCCTACCTCACTTATTGGGCTTCAGTTTTCCCTAGTGAAACTACCATATTGCTTAACATTAACTACAGTGCATGTTCTTATATATGGTTCTTTATTGGCTGGACTTTCCTGAGAATGAAATAGGCAGTTAAAAGGATTGCCAGAATAAGAATCCCTGAGAGATCAAAGGATAATTTTTAAGAGTGATTTAAGTAGCCAAACTAAATGAATTCAATTTCAGATTTAAATAGGAAAATTCTAGGATTGCAGGGATGAGTGAGATGTTGCAGAAGAGATTCTGTTTTTCTGTCACTTGTGTGATGAATCTGTTGTTTTTGCGCATGCCATAACTTACACAACCTTTGCCATATACTGGTGTTCTTCAGGTGTGTTTCAACCGACCCAGTATGGCTACTTCACTCTTTGTTTTCTTGGCATCTGTGGGCATTTCCAGTGGTGACCATCTCAAGCCATCTATGACAATACACTTAGGTGACATAAGTGGGCACAACTATTTCCTTGGTGAGTCTGTAAGTGATTAAAAATTTACCTAGGCTCTTATATGAAGTTAACATACAATATTTTCTTTTCTTTCTTTGCTTCTTGTGAGGAACAGATTGAACCAAATGCATTAATAAGATTGGAGGGGTATTCTTTCTTTCTTTTTTCCCAGACAGCTGCAGGTGATTTGGCAAAGGAAATACAAAGTGTAGATTGATCCTGACTTTGCCCAAATAAGCATATTTTGTAGCATATTTGCGTATGATATGCAAAAACTGTTTGACTAGATAGATCAATATATATGTAGAATACCAAGGGAAACAAACCATTGCTTTAATTCTGTGCTCAGTGTTACATAAGCAGCAGCCCATTTGATGTTAATGGGCTGCCTCATGTCAAAACCACAGATAATAGCTTTGAATGAAACTCCCTCCACCCTCAAAAGAAATCCTTTCAAAGCTTGCAGGTCGGAGAAAACTCTAATTTAGAATCTCTTCTAAAACAAACTTTTATGTTCTGGATCATTTTATGTTGAGCAACGTTTATGTGTTTGAACTACCTGCAATCTGAAATGTCACTGCTCAGCAGTGTGTGCCTGTCTGTTTTAGTTCTAAGTTGCTTTATAGTTTTAAGCAAAAGGACTTTACAAAGAAGCTCTTATTTCCTGCTACCTTGTCAGTATGTTACATGCTTTCAAAGCACTGATTTTCAAGTTTCCTACTTTGCAGAATGGTGCTAACATCTACTAGTCTATTTAGGATCCTGTGAATCTACTGTCCAGGCTCCTGTTCCTTGAAGAAGATTATGAAGTCTTTACAGAACACTGGCATGGCTTTATGGGCCTGGCCACATATCTTTCTAAACACATCAAAAGCCATATATGTATTGCAGTGATAGATTGGTAGTAGTGAACGTACTGTTTTTCAGGAGTGCTCTGAAAGATAGTTTGAAAACTATATATTTAGCTCTCTGTATGAATTTAGACTAGAGATGCCAATGACGTTCTCTCATGGCAAGATTGGAAACAGATTTTCATATCTTACCTTCAAACTGAACTACTTTAAACTGCATAAGCACCCAACATCTCCTCTAGATTTTGGTGCAAATCCGAAGTCTGTGCTGCTTTAATCCTGCCTAGCCATCCCTGCCACTCTTTAAAGCAGCTTTCCCAGATTTGGCCCTCTTCAGATTTGTTGATTCCCAGATAGCAGTTGAAATCCTAGTACATTTTCAGGGTGTTGAATTGGGCAATATTAACATACCATTTCTCTTCCCTTTCCCTTGATTTAGAGGTGGGACAGGAACAGACTTCCCTGTACTGCCACCCTGCACTCTTATCCTCATGTACCATTGCTCTGCATTAAGGGAAAGGAAAGAAATGCTGCAATGACATCATGGCAAAGTTGTGAGGGCTATAACTCTCCAAGCTTTTGGATTTTCTCCCACCCTCTGTTAAAACCAATCCCCCAAAAAACCTCAGGAACTCTTACCTATTTTTAATTTAGAGGGATTTCACCATTATTATTTTTTTAAATCTACTTTTTCCTTTAATTTCTCTCAGCTACATCAGAGCTGTCATGTCAGCAGAATCCACTGGTCATCAACATGACTGGAAAAATTGCCTCCCACCAAATCACCTATGCCTTGTTCAATTTCTCCTCTCTCTCTGTGGGCATCTCTGCAGTGGCTTTGCGAACTCATTTGCCATCTGATTCTTCCAGCCCAAGTAATTGTCTCCCAGAGCATGAAGGTCGTGGTTGCCAGAGACACAGGTAACTAGATGTTTGGAATAACATATGGGTCTCTAATTACTGCTGCAGCTGAAATAAAATTTAGCACAATTTTTTAAAAATCTAAGTTTTATGTAAATAGAGGTAGGATTTTGTTCACTTTGTTTCATCCTTGTAATGTGAAGAATTATTAGAACATAAGAATCCTGCTAGATCAGGCCAGAGGTCCTTTTAGCCCACCATTCTGTGTCACATGGTGGCCAACTGGATGCATTTGGGTAGCTGTTAAACTCGGATTGGAAAGCAGTTGGGTTAGGGTGTCACTTCCCAACAACCAGTATTTAAGGCACTCTGTTTATGATTTAAGAGTAATAAATAAATGGCTGTCAACATTTGTAGCCGCTAACTGCCTGCTCCTTTGTGAACCTGTTTGGTTCCCTTTTAAAGCCACTCATTTTTAGGCTGCCATTTAACTCTGCACTGTCTCATAAAATATTAACTTTTGTTGGTTCTGAATCTCTATGCATTTAGTTTGTGGGTAACCTCAAGTTCTCACGTTGTGAAAGGAGAAGAACCTCTGTTCATGATATCTATGGCATGTGTGATTTTGTGTTCTGTCTTATTCACCTTTGTCCCAAGCCAAAGAGCTCCATCTACTAGGGGAGTTGCTCCAACCCCCGACACATTACACATTTTTGCATCTTTTCTAGCTGTATAATATTCTTAAGGTACAGTGACCAGAACTGGAGTCAAATGGGCTTTCATCATAGATTTGCATATGCGTGTTATTATATTGGCAGTTCCCTTCCTAATTATTCCAAGTATACAAGTTACCCTTTTATAGCAGCTGCATGCTGGGTTGACATTTTCATCACTCTGTCTACCATGGCTTCAGGATACCTTTTCTGGTCAGGTGAAGTCTGGATCTTTTGTGCCCAATACACTGGTTTGTATGTAGGTAGGTAGTTTGATCATTTTTGCCATCTACACTGGTAGATCCAATTTGAAGTATTTGAATATATATGCATGCCATTCTTCCTTTGGGATGTTGTGTGGTCTCCTCTTCAAATTCTGAACAGATTTGCACCTGCAATTATTGCACTTTCGTTAGGAACCTGAAATAATTACAAACACTCCTGAAGGCATTCAGGACTTAATACTTTCTTAAGTCATATTAATTGCAAATAAATTTTAAGTAGCTTATAGGAACCTACAATATGCGGCTGCTTTGCTCCCACTCCTGTGAGGATTCTCAGAGCCACTGTCTTCAAGTGTGAAGGTTTTGTCCTATATGTAGCACTCTTAGACACAGCCAACTCAAGCAGATTTTACAAGGCTTGGTTTACTTCTGAATGGCATGCAATGTTGTGGAAAAGTTACATGTGATTAGCTTTGCTCCTGTGGTTGTGTGATCAGCTCACACAGTAATTCCCATGCAGACAACATATTTGGAAGGCTAACCCTAACACAGTGGAAACAGTTCTGGAGGTTGCAATTGCTACACTTCCCTACTTCATGTTTATTAAATAATATTTAATAGGAGATCTGTATCCCACCTTTCATTCAGGAGCTCAGGCTGGCTTACCTAGTGTCCCCCACCCCTCCCGTTTTTTCCTACAACCACAGCCCTCTGAGGTAGGTTGGGCTGAGGCAGAGTGTCTGGTCCAAAGTCACCCAGTGGGCTTCTTTGGCTGACAATGAACTAGAACTTGACCTGTAATTCAACCTATTAATAACTGTATCACACTGGCTCCCTTATTCACCTGAGCTTTGTTCGCAGTGTTATTTTAAACTGCAGCTGGTATCTTACATACTAGAATACTGTGTGTATTTCAGAGAGGGCACAACTTGCCATATTCACAGGCCTTAGTATAGATTGGATTTTGTGTGAGAGGTCTTTAATAATATTTAGACCTTCAACTGCTGCAAGATGCTGCCGCAAAGGTCTAGCCGTTTCTAGAGCATTTATTTCGATGTGGTATAATTTTGTAGCCTCCCATTTAGCTTTGGGGTGCAATTCAACATTTCAACTTTTAAAACTCTTAACATTGTGGGATCATGAGTCTGAAGGATTTATATGAACCTAGTGTTGCCTTGATGATAAACAGTAGTCTGATGATCTGAAGCTAATACATTGTCATTGCTCAGCCAAATGGGATCAGGGAATGTGAGGCTGGGTTTTAAAGGAAGCTGCTTCTTAAGGGAAATAGGGTACAGGAAATGTTGCCTTTAGTAGTCCCATTCTGAGGTCTTTAGTTTAAAGGACTGCAGTATGAGGGTCTGTGTTTTGTTTAGTAACTAGAATCTACAAAGTACTAAAGATCCAGCTGTGTCCCCCTATTTCATTTTAGAAACCTGGTTGCTTGGGTCAGGTAATCTACTAAAAAGTAACTGGGACTTCTTGGGGGGAGAAGGCAGAGAGGGGATTTTATACTGTCTAAGAAGCTATGGCACATGTCATTGTATTATAAAAATGGCTCATGAAGATAAAGAAAACAGCATTTTCACAGTTACAGTATGATCTCAGTGCACTTCATTCCAGGGAATGAAGGTGCTGAAATCTGAAATGATTAATCCGTATGCAAGGACATTGAGTTACTTTGACAGGTCATTCATTCATTCATTAAGAAGCTGCACATGTGTTGATCCAAATTGTAATTTAAATGTAGTCTATATTGTAAAGAGATAATACTCTTGCTATATGGCCAGTCTTAATATTATCTGGATTTTTGAAGGAGAAGGATAAAAGGACTTTAAAAGATTGACTGCATCTAAGATTGAGTTGACACATTTCTCTGATAAAAAAGAAGATTTAAGTAAATCTTATCTAGAGCAGGAGTAAGGGGGGAAAAAACCTGTTTATCTCTGAGGCATACACAATCAGTAATTTAAATGAGTTTAATAAAAATTGCTTGTCTGATTAGCTTTTGGGAATGCTAAACACATTTTCATTTTGTACAAGAATTTTCACACACTATGTGATAGGAAATTCTGGGTTCTTACTTTAGTGATAAACCTGTCTCTGTGCTATCCTATTTCTGGCTGCAGCTGGAAGCTTGCATGGAAAAAATATCTACATGTTCAAGACTGTGTCAGGATGAGACAGGTTTTGCATAGCCTGATTCCTGACATACTAATTTTCTGTGTGTAGGGATAATTATTTAATCGCAGGGATTGGCAGCCTTTTAGTGTCCAGGGACTGCATAGTAGTTTTCGAGGGGCTTGGAATTGCAAAGTGATGGGGTCACATTATCTCCTGGTAGGACTGCATTTGGGGAGGAAGACTTCAGTTTATAACTGTGGTAGTGTATACTTATCACCAGTACAGTGGGTGCCTGTTCCAAACCCAAGTACAGCTTAATATCATCCATGTAGAGGAGGTGGCTGATGGTGATTCCACTCTTGAACTTGTACCCGTATCCAGTCCTTGTGATTATCTGGCTGAAGGGGTTTAAGCCTATGCAGAACAGCAGCGGGGACAGTGTTCAGTTTCTGCTGCTAGTGGCTCTTCTGTTACTATGTAGTTGCACTGCAGTTGGGAGTACACTTTGGATGGTTCTTTGGAGAACAGGGCATCTTCTTGGCCTCTGCTTCTCTAGTGTATCTCCTTAGCCTGGCAACCAGCGCTGTGAGCCTTTCAGATGGATTCAGGCTCATGTATTTTCTCAGTAGCTGAGTCTTATGCTTAATCCCCACACCCTTCTGTAGTTCCACCACCTGACTGACTTCTCTCTGAGTTGCCTTGATCTTAGCCTCCAACCTCATTTTCCGGGGGGGGGGGGGGG